AGGCTAACGCGTGTGCACAATGTAGCTCGTTGTCCGACAGCCTGATAACCTAAATTGGAGACAATAAAGTAATTACGAGTTCTCCGTCTTCACGTGACCCGGGAACCCCCCGTATAGCCTATCAGGCAAGGTAGGAAACAAAAAAAAAATATATATATATATAAAGGATCTCTACATTTCTGAATATTGTACTGAATATATGTATTACTGACTTTTAATGAAGACCTCAACGCCAATATTTTCGGAAATTACCGGATAGTCGGCGGTCGAACAAGTTAAGGCGTCAGCAAAAATTTTATGTCAACTTTTCAAATCCAGTTCACTTGAATTAATAACACAAAAAAGATGAAAAAAATATAAAGTAAGTAATAATAAATTGAAATTAATAAGTGCCGATCTTAGGCGACTACTCAGACCACTACAATATATTACAAGGGTTCAATTCCCGCATGGAGACGGTAACGTTCCCACTCTGAGATTCATTGAGAGGTTAGCGACTTCTGTGCCTTAACCATAGCTCCTGGTTCTCCATTTGCGTTCTTAAGAAGTTTTCACTTCAAAAATGAAAAAGGAACATTTAGAGCGTCCCTCACCATGAACCGTCAGGGGTATTGGAGGGGACTTTTAGTATATTTACTTCCAAAGTATCCCCAACAAAGTTCCAAATTAAAATACTTCCTCCTCTCCAGCACTATTCAATTCTTTCGATGATTGAATTATTAGTTGCATGTGTGGTCTTAAAACTGGTACTAAAATAAGTGTTTGAAAATTTTATGTTTGGGAGAGAACTGAAAAAGGATTAAGTCGACTAAAGGTTCCTTGTCTAGAGCGCTAACAATTACAAATCGGGGCCCGTTGATATTATTTTAGTTTATTCGTTCATTAAAATTATTTTACCAAGTAAATTGACAAGGAAACAAGATGGTTTAATTGGTTATCCATTGATTTATAAAATAATTATTCGGAAATATCAAAGATAAAGGATGACGGAATTGTTGAATGCTGTGACTCCACGTTCTTTTGAAGAGATAAAGCGAAAAAAAATGTTAGTAAATTATAAACATACTCCATATTAAGGAAAAATGGGCACATGAAGGTATTGTAAAAATCGATATATTTCAAATGAAATGTGTGAAATAGCATTGATTAATTTTAAATAATTTAGTTTCGAATTTAAAGGAAACAAGTTGACATTGGCCGAGGAGCGGACTACTGCCCTAACGATGTCAGAAACTCCTAACTGCGCCAGCGGGCCTCAACTTCTCGACCGGGGCAAAGTTAGTTTTGACATTCAAAAATCTGTCACAACAGAATTACACTGAAGCGCGAAATTCTCGCTGCCAGTACCAAGGCTAAAATATACGGGATTTAGAGAGAATTATAATGAAATAAAGCTACTGAATTGCAAGAGAGGATCTAGGAAAACTTTTTAATGTGATGGAAAATGGCAGAGGATAATATATAAGATAATTGATAATATAGTTCACATTTATATGAATTACAATTAAATGGTAATAAACTCTATGCCGAAAGCCTGGTATCCATTATGTAGCCAAATGGAAAAACGTAGAGAAAGGTACAGAATGAAGAGATTTCAAGTCTGTCTGTTGGTTGGTCTAGATATCATTTTATAAAATTGTTAAAGAAGCTCTGAGAAAAACGGATTAAAGAATACATTAAAAATTAGTTGAATATTATTTGAAGTTCTGTTGAAATAGTATTTTTTTGAAGGTAAAACAGTTAATACAAATTATCTAATGTACTAAAAAATATTACTATCCAAAAATACGTGAGCTATTCTTATTTCTTATTAGCTATTGAGGATTTTCTTCTATTAAGGTCTTTTTAAACATTATAACATATTTATAAATCATATCCATTAAGTATGAATAATCGTGTTATCGGATCGACAATGGATTCAATTCTGGATGCACAAGTTTAATCTATGGAAGCAGATTCATTCAAAACATACACTCATCGTATTTCTAGGTTGTTACTGAAGGTATATAAAATTCAGAAGACAGCACTTAAAATATTAAGTGTTTATGCTCCCACTACAGAGGCAGAAGAAAGTGAGATTGAAGAATTTTTTTTAAAACCTACAAATAGCTATTGATGAAGGAAAGTACAATCAAATAATAGTAATCAGAGATTTTAATTCAAAAATAGGTAGCGAAGGTAACTCAAAATATATAATTAAATTCCTTATAGGAGGACTGAATATTAGAGGGGAGAGAATTATTGAGTTTATTGAAGAAAATGATCTTTACATCATATACAGATTTTTTGAAAAAAATCCTAACAACAAATGGACATGACAGAGTCCAGATAAAAAGGCAAAACATGAAATAGATATCACAATTGTTAAAAATAAAGAATTAGTAAACAATGTGAAAGTTTTGAGTCACCCTTACATTGGCAGTGACCATATACTAGTAATATTGAATAAAAAACTCATCACTTCAAAACATAAAAAAGAAAATCCTGCAAAAATAAATCAGAAAACATAATCAAATGAAAATTAAGGGATTACACGGTGGGCCAGACCCCCTTACCGTGCACCCCCCCCATCCCTACAAATTGCATATCGTTGTGCTCCTTGTAACTATTTATTAAAAAAAAGCCAATGTTCCCACAAAAAAAAGTGAACGCACTGCCCCAAAATGGCGTCCAAACATGGCGGATTGAGAACTTTGACTTTAGTTAGTTTTTTGGTCACTGAGAATCAGCATTTGGCTCAATTTCTTCATAGTTGGTCTTTTATTAAAGCTGAATAGTCATAGAATAATAAAACATGAAGAAATATTAAAAAATTAATATTAAAGAAATAAAAATTAATTATTTAATTAGTGATGTATGAGTTTTACTATACAACCGGACATATATTCATTATATATAGTTCAGATTAGGTATATATTATTTTGGTTTATAAAACAGGCATTAATATGACTCATTTCCTGGGAAGTATATAAAAATTTTAATTACCTCTAAGAATCAGTAAACATATAAAACACAGTGTTAAATTACAAACGTTAAATAAAAAAAAAAATCAAGATATTTAGCAAAGTATTTTTTAATTAAGTTTTATTATTAAAATTATATCATTTTTACAATTGAGGTCTTCTTAAACGACCTACGTATAGAATAAAGGAAGTTAAAAAAAAAAATAATAATAAAAAATGTTTTTAAAAAAATTTAGTTTTTTTTCGACAATTAAATTATTGCATTAATATTTGTTTGTTAATAAAACCAATATAACGTACCAAAAACGTTATTATATCAGTATAACTAAGCCATTTATATGTACTGAATGGTGTGGTAGAGGCCTGTAGGCACACAGGCCAGTACTGCTTTTCTGTCGCATAAGTGCATTTTCTATGGAACTGCTTAAATTAAAAAAAAAAATAATCAGCGTTTTGGAAAGAAAAATATATTCTCCAGATGTTTTATTTTAGCACGTTTTGCGTTATTGTTGGCCGTTTAATTACAAACGAATCTTGATTTTTAACTTGAAATTTTGTTTGTTAAAAAAATTGACTTTACTGGTGTTTTTCATAGCCTAAGCCAATTATTTTTTAATATTTCTTCGTGTTTTATTATTTTATGACTATGCAGCTTTAATAAAAGACCAACTATGAGGAAATTAAGCCAAATGCTGATTCTCAGTGACCAAAAAACTAACTGAAGTCAAAGTCGTCAATCCGCCATGTTTTGACGCCATTTTGGGACAGTGCGTTCACTTTTTTTTGTGGGAACATTGGCTTTTATTTAATAAATAGATACAAGGAACACAACGATAAGCAATTTATAGGGAAGTATGGGGGGGAGGGGGTGCACGGTAAGGGGGTCTGGTCCACATACTAGATAAATTAAAATCATTTATGCCAAATTTAAATTCAAGAGATGACAACTTCAAACCAAATTACGGAAATAAGAGATTCATTAAAAATGTTCTTGAATAGATGAGAATTCTACGATAGAACCTCTCAAGAAAGATAAAAAATCTTCATGAAAAAATAAAACAAGGAGCATGATACAAGACAAATCAACAAATTAAGGAGAAAAAAAATTGAGAACAGGTTGAGAGAACGTAAGATAGACAAGATCGAGGGAGTTATTAAGACAGAAGGTAAACTAAAAGAGGTAGGAATTAGTAAAACAAAAATTACTGTAATTTTAAATGAAAAAGGTCAACTTGGAGATAATTAATGGAGTAAAATGTTATTATGAACTATATTATGATAGATAAATGTGTAATCGGTTCGACAATGGAATTAATTCTGGATGCACAAGTTTAATCTATGGAAGCGGATTCTCAATCAGCTGCAGCCACAAATTGTTGCCGCACAAATCAATCAAGTGCTCTAACTATTCGCAAGCAATAGCTGGCCAACTTTGATAGAGATTTGAACCAGCCTATCCTACCAATTTTAGGCTATGGTTTCCCTCTGTATTTGATTGGATAGCAACAGCTAAATTATAATCCAACATCATGTTGCAATAATGTTACGACAATGATATTTTTTTAACAACCTAATAAATTATTTGACCTATCGAGAACTTGCTTATGATTATATATATATATATATATATATATATATATATATATATATATATATATATATATATATATATACATACATATAAAGTAATTTTCCACCATGAATATATGTGTATGACTCACGGACGTCCGGAAGATAAATAATAAAAAAGAAAAAGAGATGTGAAAGAAAATACTTTGCTGCTTGCAAAAACACACTTTATTAACTAAACAGATCGTTATAACCTACCAGAATATATAATCATATGTTTTAATTACCTATTTAATTTAATCAATGTATTTAATTATCTAAATAGGATGGAACTCAATTTAAATTTACCACTAACCATAAGTTATGTATATATGTATAGGTGCATGCGACTACTATGATAAGTGAATGTATTTATATATGTGTGGGTTTATAACAACGGCAAATAGGACGTGACACAAAATATATTACCTTATTGATGTTGGACATTAAATTGTTGCCATGACACCGGAGTGGGTCTCACCTGAAACAGAACAAGAATACAATTGTTAACATAACTATTTATTTTAATGTCAGGAAAGCAGATCAATTAAACTATTTATATTTGTGTTTTTAAGTAATAATAGATATTAAGAAAAAGTTTAAATTTAATTCAGAGGGAAAATTCTTTGATAAAAATTGTAATTGAATTTAACTCTTCTAGTTTACCTTTAAACGCCATCTTAAGCTGGTAATGAACTGGCTGATCGAGCTGCCAAAAAAACCATTACTGATGGAATACCTTATCGGGGAGTACCTGTAAAGGATTTTATAACTGTCATCAAACAGAAAATGGAGACAAAATGGGAACAGATATGGTCGGATGTAACCGAAAATAAATTGAGGGAGGTTAAGGGTGACGTTTCCTCTTGGCCATCGTCAAATAGGAATAACCGTAGAGATGAAGTAATTCTTACACGCCTGCGTATAGGTCATACACGCCTTACTCATGGAAACCTGATGGCCCTTGATTCTTCGCCAACATGCCAAACTTGTGGGACTCCTCTGACAGTGAAACACATCTTAAGAGAATGCAGAACTTATGAAACATTTAGACTCTCTTGTGACTTGACAAACGATCTACACTCCATTTTACAGGACAATACGAATGAGGTTGATAAACTGTTTTCTTTTTTGAAATGTTCTGGACTTGAGAATACAATTTAGTTCTCGATGAGAATAAAGCGATAATGACCCTAGTGGTTGAAGGCTTTAAAAAAACAAAAAAACAAACACCATCTTAAATTACTAATGCTGGTAATATTAAATCTGGCCTGTTAACACCACTACCAATATTTATTTTAGCATAATATCTTATGGTATGTTACATTATTTACCAGTTTTGAGAAATGAGATAGAAATTGGATCGAAATAAAACATGCCCAAAATAAGCTTTTGGAGCTATTAGCAAAGCAATGCTTGAGCATAAATTAATTTCCTCTCAAAGTAGTATGGTTAGTGAAAGTTGTGCTATATCCACACCGCTCTAATTTCTTTTTTAATGATTCTTTTGTTTCAGTACTATTTTATATGTTCATTTTAATGGTCAGAAATTCATACAAGAATAATGATAGTACTTGCACTAAGATCTAGATACAGTTATAGAAATGATATAATTAAGGAAGAGAGAGTGAAAAATAACACATTGCATAAAATTAGTCGTAGTTCTTAGTTTAGGCACTGACATAGCCATATAGAGGGAAGAAGGAAGAAGAAGAAGAATATACCAAAGACGAATAACAAATTTTACATTTTCTTTAATGTTTAGAATTTCTCTTCAAATATTTCTTGGATCTAGTTCTCATTTATAAAATTATTGTTAAATTCATTATTCTTTTTATTTTTTCAATCGAACGTTTTTTGAATAATTTTCACCTTGAATGTTTATATTGAAAATGAAATTTATATTAATTTTCTCTCTTTCTACGTTCTGTCTTTTGTTTATTATGTTTTTCGTTTATACAGTAGCATTCAATACGAATTCAAATAGAATAATGTAAATGATCTTTTTAATAAAAAAAATTTATCATAGCTTTGGTTTCCATCCAATATTTTAAAAATATTAACTGAAAAATAGCATTATGAAACAATGGTTGTCTAATGAGAACACGAGAATCATTATTTTTGACCTCAGTGAATAATTTGGTTCCGGAAATCCTCGGTAAAAAGGTTTTATCTTTTCATTCTAAAAGAACAAGGGGTCCAATAATTAACGAATCAATTAATGAAACTAAGGATGGATAATTAATAAAATCATTCAGTAAATAATTAATTATATTTAGCTTTAAAAAAGGTTCAGCAAGAGTCAAGTATTGTACAATCACAGATTTTGTAATTAAAAAATAATAAAATTCTTTACGATTAATACAGTTATTTTATGACACTTTGTTAATATATAAATTATCATAATACGGATAAATAACATACATAAGGACTAACAATAATTCAGGTTTCTTTGGTGAAAATGTTTGGAAAATTTTTCATGATTAAATAAGTAACTGCATACGTATCGTTGTTTAATTTTACTTGACAGTGTAATTATCAATTTACTATTCAAGGCATCCACAAATTCATAGAGAAAAAAATAAACCAAATTTGTGACTAGTGGTTGTTCATGAACGTAGTATTAAAAAAAAAATTGGTGGGCACATCACTCAACTTTCACTTACCGCTCTACTTTGAACAGAAATTATTTGTCTGGCGAAATTGGGCTATTACTAAACGTTTTGAGGTAAATTTTTAATTTAGCTAAACCTTAAAGTTATTGAACTTTGGTCATATTGGTTAACGCCAAAACTCAATAAGATCATCAGAATAACGAAAATTCTATTTATTATATCGACTGTAGGCAACAAAAATCTCCGTCAATTTATTTGAATAAATATCATGAAAAAGAAAAAATCGATAAATAAATAATAAACTAACTGAAATAAACGAACGGATCAGTAATTAAAAATTGATTAAAGATCATACAGAGAGAAATGGTTAATTTCAATACTAATTTATTTTTCTAGGATTAATATGCGAAAGATTATTGAATACTTACAGAGATTTGGAGAAATACTTTCTGTAAAAAATTATCCCATTATTATTGGGACAAGCCCACCGCTTGATGAATTAAAAGAATGAACTAAAGAAAAATCATGATGAATAAATAGGAGAAATGGCAGTAGAAGTAAGTAGGGGACGAATATGAAAATAGGACGGAGGGGGGAAGATAAGCTATGGCCCGGTTATTGGATTAATTTTAAGGTAGGAATCTTTGAACATGGACACATGACTCCAATGAGTTTGAATGATATGGGGTGGGGTGGCCGAGCGGGCTAACGTGTGTGCACAGCACAGCGCGTTGCTTGGCAACCTTATATAGATATATTATAGATGATAAAGTAATTACGAGTTCGTGTCCCGGTGCTGGAGGGGCTTTTAGTTCTGCCATTGATCCCTCGCTCTTACCCTCTGGTCCGGGAAAATCCCGTATAGCCTAAAAGACGATGAAGTGGAGGACGAAAAAAAAATTAGTTGGAATGATGAAAATCGAACTTACTGTTTCTGGCAATAAAGTAACTGTTGTCCCTTCTTACTATTTTTCTTTTTTTTTTTATGGTGTTACACGGAATGGGTGACCATTAAATGGAGGAAGCATTGTTTTCCTAGTCCTTTTAACTTAGTTTTACGAGTATAAACTATATCTGAGGAACACATTGCTTCTACTTATATGTTGTTAAGAGCTGCGTTGATTTTTATGGCTGATGGTCAAGACTCATGGAGGATGATTCCCTTGTAGTGCTACACAGCACTTGGCATTATTTCGTGTCTATTTCTCTGATTCAGCGACCTTTCGTGGAAGTTCCCTCCCTTTGGTTAAGATATTTTTCGCTTTATAGTATCGTACGTGATTCACTTTCCATCACCTGTCCCTCAGGTTTTTAGAAAATGGTCGATTTTGGGAACGAATCTTCCATTGGATTTTTCATGTGATACCCAAACATCGGTCTTTTTGTTATAGTAAACGGCTTAAGAAAATGACTAGTAGAGATGCGGCGACTATTTATACCCGGTGTCATCCAATTTTTTCGAAACGTTTGTCATATTTTTTAGTGATATGACGATTATAACAAAGCAGATTTCTTGACCGTATCCAAGCAAACCATTAGCGGGCTACTGATGTTCAGAGAGAATCTTAAACAGTCATTTCGGTCGAAGTACTTTTATAAATGTACGAAATTTCATATTACATGCTTCCATATTCTAACGCTTGTGAATGTTGATCCAGGTCACGAAATCATTGGATTTTGTCTTACAGAGGTTGAAAGTTCACCTTTCAAACGAGCTATAATAATAGAAAACAGTTCAAACGCCCCGAACTATTTTTACTAATAATCCTATTCATCGATGATAAAAAACAAAACAACTTAGTCTATATAAATAAATCAAAATTTCATTTTCTATTATACAAAAAGTAATTAAACGGACCTGCAAAACTATTATGGACACTTCTGATGAATGAGTGCGATATTCTTTAAATGTCAAACGTGTTATTTTATTTTTTCGTATTCAAAGTTCTGAGAGTTATAGTCGATTATTATGATTTTATTAGCTATAAACTTTATCGTTAAAAATTTCTAGTCCATCTATAAATTTATTTATGTCCACTCATCATTATAACTTCTCTTGATGGTTGAAATGGTTACATCGATAGTTATTTTATTTTATGCTCTAAATTATATTATTAGTTAATAAAATATATTGAAAAATTAAATTTAACAATACGCCAATTAAAATTTCTGGATGAGTTCCTTTTCATAATTAACATCTACAATAATTAACCCAAACGCTTTGAGAGACAAGGAAACCGTGACTGGGTTTCCAGTAAAGAAACCTCGCAATTACTCCTGGTCATGCCAAGGACCTCCCATCCTTCTTTGTCCTATTCCTCCGTTATCGAGTCTCTTTTCCATATTTTTCTCATGGAAGGATCTTATGGAAAGGGGTTTATTTCCCCATGGCGCTGGGGCAATGATTATAAAGAAGTTGTCAGGACTGCATTGTTGTAAATGTCTCCTCTCTCAGGAACGCTTATTCTCCCTCAACGGCAATTTATCACGCAGCATTCCAACGAAATAAAACTTCATATCAACTCATGTTAGATAGAAATTTATAACAATATTAATCCACATAAATATATATACTTAAGTTATGGGATCTTACAGTATATTGAAATGTTACGTTTTGGGGTGTTTAATTTTATTCGGGATGCCACTGGATAATAACGGAAATTACTGATGATAGTTACCCAGAAATGTTTAATAAAAAAATTAGTAAAATAAATTTGGATCTATAATATATTGATTGGTCCAGAATTAATTAATTGGATTTCTTTTCTCCAAGGCTGTTCTGTGTTTATCATGCTTTCTAATTACACACATTACCTGTGATCATCATGATATAATTAGGTAGCAGAATTGAAATAACTTTTACTAA